GAGAGTGGTAAATATTGTAATATATACAGTATAACTGCAGTATGCCTCGACACTGTTGTATTAACTAAAATTGTATAGCTTTTTTTTATGCGGGTCCCAGTATGAAAATAGATAATGTTTTAAAGAATGTTTCACCAAATAGTTCTTGATAACCAGTCGTTATTCCTATTGAAACCTTGCAGCAGAAAACATTCTCCATTGTCTTTTCACATAATAAACAGATTTTCCCACTGCACCCCTTTAAGTCATGCAAGAAATCATGAATGGTTGATGACTAAGGTAGTGCTCAACTCTTCTATGGCGACTTGGTGTTTAACACGTAGGTCGCATTAATCTGGATAGATGTGTCAGACTCTTGACTTGTTGTTTGCTCTTGACCCTGTTCACTTTAGATCCCATTACTTTGCATACTGACCCTGCATCCTATCTAGATTGACTTACTCTCAATGCTGCAGTATCAGCCAAGCACGTTGTGCAAATACTGTACACATCGAGAAACACAAGCCAGTGTTCAGGTACATGTGCGTGCAAAAGGTGATATGCAAATTGTGATGCATTTAAATGGCAAGCAGCATGCCAGTCTTCATGCACTGAATTAAACATTTCTCAAAGTATCACTACCTATAATATCTTCCACTAAACGACAATGTAGATTTTTGCCAATGCAGCTTAACATAGATAAAGAAGTACAATAAAAGCCATACAAATATTTCAAATTGTGGAACATTTTCAGTATATCAGTCGGACTGGACAGCAGTGTAGAATGTTTGTGTAGTTCTAGTTAAATTAATACTGGTTCAGTGTAATTAAAATGTCACTATTGATGTTTAATTGTTCTGAAAACAGTGCAGAAAAAATGTGTAGACACCGGTATATAGAAAGTTAGACAGAAATACAGAGGATCAGACAGAGATGCTCAAATACAAGTAGACGATCAAGCAGTTAGACAGACAGGTAGAAAGAAAAACAGGTACAGAAAAATGAATAGACAGATGCAGTACTGGTAGATAATCAGAGAGATAGACAGAGTAGGTAGAAAGACAGACAAATAAATACAGGTAATTAAGGAGATGGATAGATCGAGACAGACTGGTAGATGGGCAGACAGATAAACAGATTGAAATGGACTAGTAGATAGACTATGATATATAATATATAAATAGATGGAAAAGACTATGCAAATGGAGAGACAGACAGAAATGCAGGTGGATGAACATGAATATGCAGTTAATTGAACATGAAATTGAAATTTCATGAAATTCAGTTGATTGGACATGATTTGAAAAGGCATACACCTGTCTATATTAGGTTCCAGGGTTGACAGTGCATGTCAAAGCACAAACCAAGCATGAAGACAGAGGAATTGTATGTAGACCTATGAGACAGGATTGTCTCGAGGCATAAGGCTGGGAAAGTTACAGAAACATTTCTGCTGCTCTGAAAGTTTCAATGAGCACAGTGGCCTCCATCATTTGTAAGTGGCAGATGTTTGGAACCACCAGGACTCTTCGCTGGCCGGCCATCTAAGTTGAGTGATCGAAGAAGGGCCTTAGTCGAGAAGGTGATCAATAACCCGATGGTCACTCTTTCTGTGCTCCAGCGTACTTCTGTGGAGAGAAGTGAACCTTAAAGAAGGACAAACATCTGTGCAGCAATCCACCAATTAGGCCTGCATGGTAGTGGCCAGACGGAAGGCACTCCTTGCCTGGAATTTGACAAAAGGCATCTGAAGGACTTTCAGACCATAAGAAACTAAATACTCTGGTCTGATGAGAGTAAAATTTAACTCTTTCGAGTGAATGCCAGGCATTACATTTGGAGAAAAACAGGCACTGCTCATCACCAGGCTAAAACCATCCACACAGTGAAGCATGGTGGTGGCAGGGGAAGTTTTTCAGCAGCAGGAACTGAAAAACTGGTCAGGATAGAGGGAAAGATGAATGCAGCAATGTACAGAGACATCCTGTATAAAACCTGCTGCAGAGTGCTTTTGACCTCAGACTGGGGTGTGAGTTTATCTTCTAGCAGGACAATGACCCAAAGCACGCCGCCAAAGTATCAATGGAGTGGCTTCACAACAACTCTGAATGTCCTTGAGTGGCCCAGCCAGAGCCCAGACCTAAATCATATTGAACATCTCTGGAGAAATCTGAAAACGGCTGTACACCATCGCTTCCCATGCAGCTTGAGCGGTACTACAATGAGGAATGGGCGAAAATTCCCAAAAGACAGGTGTGCCAAGCTTGTGGCATCATATTCAAAAAGACTTGAGGCTGTAATTGCTGCCAAAGGTGCATCAACAAAGTATTGAGCAAAGATACTTATGTACATGTTATATTTCATTTTTATTTATTTTTTTTATATAAATTTGCAACGATTTCAAAAAAATCTTTTTTCACATTGTCATTGTAGGGTATTGTGTGTAGAAATTTGAGGAAATAAACGAATTTAGTCAATTTTAGAATAAGGCTGTAACTTAAAAAAATGTGGAAAAAGTGAAGTGCTATGAATACTTTCAGGATGCACTGTAGCTAGATAAACAGTCAGATAGAGTTAGACAATGAGACTGGTAGAACAGACAGACAGAAACACAGAATAACAGACAGAGCGATGGACAAATGCAAGTAGACATTCAGACAGCTAGATAGAAAGACAGATACAGACATATACATAGACAGATACTGGCAGATAGTCAGTGAGATAGACAGTAAGAAGAAAGACAGACTGCAAAATGCAGGTATATAAAGAAACAGACATAGATGGAGACAGACAGGTAGACAGATAAACAGAAATTAAACAAACTGTTAGACAGTCCAATATTCAGGTTAATGGAGAGACAGACAGAAAAACAAATAGATGGGCAGACAAATAAATAGGCAGTTCGGCGGAAAGGCGACAGATAGATAGATAGATAGATAGATAGATAGATAGATAGATAGATAGATAGATAGATAGATAGATAGATAGATAGATAGATAGACACCATGTACAAAAGGGTACAAAAACATGTATACAGACAGACAGACAGATTGGTAGACAGATAGAAAGGGTGACAGACAGACTTTGAGCATTATAACAATAAGTCTCTTAGGGACAAAGTACTTCCTCTACAGTGACATGGCTACTTTCTTTAACCTTGAACAAAGTGGAGTTACTCTTGTGTGTCTAAGTGTCTGTGTTTATAGAGTCTTTGAATATACAAACTGAGTAATCGGTCTACCTGGAAATGGGTCAATTGCTTTCATACATGTGATGCCTGGGGAAGGGTGATTTGCAGGGTGTGACTGAGAGTTTGCATCAGCTCAGAGGGCAGAGGTCATGCATTTACCTAAAACAACCGACAATACTATCTCAACAACTATTAATGAGCTTTATGAAATAAAGTGTTTGTACACATACAGTACATGCATACTTAAACTCATACTAAACACAAACTCATATTTTAATATTGAATAAGTACTAAGTCATTAAATGTATATAAAATAATAAAACAAACATAAAAGTTTTAAGTTCAATTAAAAAAATATATAAATATATATATATATATATATATATATATATATATATATATATATATATATATATATATATATATATATATATATATATATATATATATATATTCCCCCCCAAGAAATGTTATTCCACCGTTAAAACATTAGTATTGTAATATAATATTACTGAATATAAATAGTGCACGTTTTAGTTATTTCATGCAAAAAATTATATTTTATTTAAAATTAGGAAGAAATGCCATCAGTTTATAGAATAAAAAAAAAAGTTTTAATCAAACACACAACCATAAACTGATATCTATACTATTAAAAATTATATCATCAGTTTGTGAAAACAGCATATGCTCATAGTTCATTTTAACTTATTAAAGTTAGTCATGTTCTAACTTAATTTTATAAGTTTTAGGTCAGTTTAACACGTTCAGTGGATTTTTTAGGCTGAATCAAATGAACATTTTAAATCAAAATTATATGATCAATATGTCAAGACAGCATATGTTTTCAGTTCATTGTAACTTAATTAACTAAGTTAGTCATGTGCTAACTTGACTTTATAAGTTATGCAAGCTGTTTTAAGTCAGTTTAAAAATGTCAACACTCTTTTTAAGCTGAATCAAATTAACATTAAGACAAATTTATATGATAAATTACTGAGAAAAGCATATGTTTATAGGTTACAGTAACTTCTTAAACTAAGTTATTCGTATTCTAACTTAAGTTATGCAAGCTGTTTTAAGTTAGTTTAACATAAGCTTAATGGACTTTTTAAGCTGAATCAAATTAACATTTTAAGGCAACCAGAACTTTTTACAGTGTATATAATAGTAGTTACACATTACATAACAGAGCAGCCAGACAGCACATGACAAAAAATCACTACCTTTTATGGTCTTGCACCTGCAAAGCATCAAAGTGGACGGTGTATTTATGTGTTTATTCAAGGTGTGTATTGTAGAGGAAATGTCACCGAGTCGGAGTGCGCGACAGTTTACAAGTTCAAGGTGATGAAATTTGTTGCCTGAGGATGAAAGATAAGCTAGTCGGTCCAGTCAGGGCATCTTAGGAGACAGTCGCGACCATAATCACTCTCAGCCAATGGACACTCAATATGAACGAGTCGTACAATGCAATGCAAACCAAAAAGTAAATGACCAAAGTGACTTGTGCGGAATATAATACGAAAAATCCCAAATATCCGTCAGTATTGTTATATCACAATGATATGTAACTCTGACTCATTTTCCTGACTGTGATGACTCAGTGGTCATGTGCGCTAAATATTTGGCTTTGTTATGCTTCCTGTCTCTCTGATTTTATTTTGTTGCATACTGACCTCTAGTGGACACTTATTGTAGACATTAAGGACAGATTTATGCTGTGTGTGTGTGTGTGTGTGTGTGTGTGTGTGTGTGTATATATATTTATATGTGTGTGTGGATCAAAAAAGAGGTCACAGAACTGAAACTTTTTTTTTGGTTTAAGCTTGTTGTAGCACAATTTAATTTATTCAAAAATGAGGTTTGAATTGTTCATGCACTGTAAAATGACCATACACATAATGAAAATGAATCAAATACTGTATAAGCAATAATTAATCATAATGCTGACTATACAGATGACAATTTATAACCAGTCTAAATAAATTCAGTTTTTCTACACATTATTTTTCAAGAATTCATACATAAGCACATAACAAAAATCAGTATTGTGGAACACATAATAAGAACAATCATTATTCAACATATGGACAACAGCACATTAATTAACAAACTGAGTCTAAAAAATAATTTCCTGTGAAGCCTACGTTGATAAATACCTGCTCAAACAAATACAAACCATCACAATCTGAGATGCATTTGAAGCTTTATCACATTAATCACCATTGTTGTATACATATACAGCGGATTTTGTTAAAACAGCTTGATTTTTGCCTGGCAACTGTAAATGCGGCCATGCCTTTAGTTCTAGATCTTTGATCCGATTGGCCGAGGAGTGTTTCAATGATGCCTATTGACATTTCACATTTGAATGAGTCTATTTTTTCTGTGTTGGCACATTTCTGGAACTTAGTATCCAACTCCCCCATACACCCCCCAAATTTATTAACTTTAATTAAACACAAATGTGCATTAAAGCAACGTAAGTACCATTACAGAATCTTGATTCATTCTGACACGGTTAGACAATGCCCCAAAATTTTAATTAACTGTGTTTTTACAACCATGTTAACAAAAGATTAACTATGACTTTGCTACACTACCCTAATGCTAATCAACAACCGACATTACTACATTTTTACTTTTTTAGTTGGTTTTTGTTGAAGTAACAATTAAAAAGTGGAAAAAATGGGTGGAAGAAATAAATATGTATGGGAGAAAAGAAAAAAAGAGTGATGGGAAGATATATTTTTTTAAGTTTTAGCATTCCCCTGCAAAGACGTTTTGCAAAACTGTTCTTCCACAAACACTTCCTGTTCACTTGAATCACTTCATACATGTCAACCATCAGGTTTTTGTCGGGATTCAATCGTATTTTACCATTCTATCCCAAAAATGCACATTCTAACATTAAGTATTTTCCCATATTTCTCCAACATTTTTAATCTTAAGAGCGCGTTGAAATTAATATGAAAAAAAAAAAACAAACGGGAGGGTTCACCTGTATGAAATAAATATCAAGTGTTTGTGGACAATACATCTTTGGGAGATAATGCAAAACATCTTCCCAGTTTTTTTTTCTTCCACCAATTTTCTTCCCCACCATGTCTATTCCAGGTCTCTGTAAAAAGCAAACCAATGTTTTGTTCTAGTAAAAAGGCAGGGGAATAAATATTTTTGTGACTGATTGATCACTGTAGAATTTGTGACAGAACTACAGTAGGTTGTGTGACAAATTCTTTTTTTTTCATATGGGTAAAAACACCTGGCTAAGCTACTTAAGGTTTTTCTACTTTAAGGTTAAAGTGAACCTTTGTACAGTTATTGAACATGTTTTCTAATTAATTATGAGATTTACTACTGCATTTTAGTGAGATTTTAAGCACATTTTTTGCTGAATTAACTTGGCAGATGGTCACACCTTTTAAGTTGCCAAAAACATTTTCTAAAAATTTAGAATAAAGAAATATGAAGAGGTTACTTATTTTTAGGCTACTTTATGATATATCACTAGGAGAAAAAATTGCTATCTGTTGAAGTTTTAAAATTAAAACTGTGTCCTATATTGTCATTTATTAGGCAAATAATAAACATGGCCAGCACATTCAACTTCCCTCAGTTGCAGAATTTGGCCATTTTGAATAATAATAATAATATTAATAATAATAATGTAGAGTTTCATGATTTTTCTAGCTTCTCTTGTAAAAAAATATATTTGAAAATTTCTGGATGACAACAATAGCCTAATAAATTTTAATATGGGTCACTTTTGGTGCTTCGCAACCTTTTATTGGTCATTGTCGTTCAAAACTAAGATTTAGAATAAAAGTTTCTTATACAATGTTTTCTCTATAACAACAATACAGTGAAAATAGACTTTACTTGCATCAGATTCCGCATGGCCTTAAAGACTTTTTTCGATGGGTTATTTTGATAACTTATGATGACAACATTATGGGACAAATGAGCTCATATATGGTACAAATACTAGCTACGGGCCTGTTTAATAACAATAACCAAATATAATTTTTTTTCTTTAGTATAAAAATGCTGAGGCACCAAATAAAAAGTCAAACAGTATACATTTAATTTTAGGTATTTTGTTCACTGCCTATACCATGAAGTGAGGTAACAGTTATTAGGCTGGTATATAATGTTTAGTATGGTACAGTATGAGTGTTTGCTTTTTTTGTTTTGGACTATTCACAGTGTTTGCACGAATGTCTTTTATGAATGTTAGTTGGAGAATCAGGGGCTCTTGAGACGAGTCATGATAGGGTTGATAAAGGAGAAGTTTTCGAACATGCTCTGATCCATGCTATTGATCATCATACGATCTGTGACGGAGAGTCGAGGCTTCTCGTTTATGAACTCCTTATCGAAGTTACTGCAGTCATTTGCTGATTTCTGTAAACAAACAAACAAAAAAAAACAAAACGTCATAGTCACAGATAAATGTTTGCAACAAACCTCTAAAATCTATTGTGAGGTGCTGCGTTCAGTTCTATTGTCTACTACAGACACCATAACTAAAACTAAACCTCAAAATGTACGGAATTCAAATGATCTACACCAGCATTAATGGTGCACAACACAGAGAAATTGCAACTTTAGCATGTCGCCAAGCTAAAAACAACACTCGGATATGTATAAATTAAAATGTACCTCATTAAATCATACATTTATATCCTGTCTCAGAGCTAATGCATCTTCTGTCATTGACTTCAGTAACATATAAACTAAATACAGCTTAAATTCCTGTTTTGGAAAAAATTTAACAAAAGTTACACCAAAAACAAAAATTCTGTTATCTTTTTTTTTTACATGTACAGGTGTCGGTGACACGGTGGCGCAGTAGGTAGTGCTGTCACCTATCAGCAATAAGGTCGCTGGTTTGAGCCTCAGCTAGGTCACATGGCGTTCCATGTGCCAAAGACATGTAGTATAGGCTAAATTGTCTGTAGTGTACGAGTGTGAATGAGTGTGTAGGGATGTTTTCCAGAGATGGGTTGCAGCTGGAATGGCATCTGCTCCGTAAAACATGCCCCTTTTTTTAATAAAGGGACTAAGCCGAAAAGAAAATGAATAAATGTACAAGTGTCTAATTAATAACTACGAGAAGTAATTAGATACTACTAAATAAATAGTATTTAAAATAAGCAAACTAGGATATACTTAATAGTTGCTATAGTACTTACTGTAATAATAAATTTTAGTACTTGTTTTATTAAATAACAAGTATCCAATAATATAGGTACTAGTATATAAAACATTCCTATCTGTTTACTGAACTGGTATCCAATGAATAATTGGCCATTTTTAATGAATCTAGTGAAAAACTGCTAGCATTTAATCAAGAATAACACTTTGTCCTAACAAGACAAGACAAGATTCCAGCGACAAGCAATTTGGCTGTCTGAACCAAACATGACACGACAGAAACATTTAAATACCAGCTACCGACTCCCAGCAAAATGGTAAAGGCTTTTAATATTACACATTCAACCTCTTTAACATTATTAGTAGGCTACTGAGTGACTTACAGTATGTTGTAACTCTGACTTTCATTTTCAAATTGCCTGATAGTTTGTTTATTTTCAAGATCTTAGGTTAACTGCTTCAGCTTTCAGTAATAATAAATGTAAAGTAAAATGGTATTTAAACTCACATTGTATTTAACCCTGTATAAAGCACATAATTTCTACCCGAGATGATCATTGTCTTATTAGTATATGCTGTAGTAGCCACAATGTCACAGAAATAGAAAGAATTTCTAAAATTCATGCATTGCCATGAGATGGTTACTAGGACAAAAACTCCCTTTAACATGAAAAAGATACATTTTATTGGGTGTTGCAGCATGTGTAGTTAGGACAGCACCAGTAAGTACTAGTAGGCTTTTTGATAAATTTTAGTATGTACATGTGACTATAAATTATAGCATGTAATAAATGAATACAAGTATTTAATGAATAAGTATTTAATAGTGAATGCTATTATCTAATAAAAATAGTAACTTAACAAAAGGTTTGTGCTGCTAGTTTCTTAAGAATAGACATCCTAAAATGTACTAGTACTTACTGAAAAAGGTTCTGGTAGCTAAAAAAATACCAAATGGCATAAAAATAGTTGTATTGATTAAATGTTAACACTTTGTTGTTGAATGTTATCAATGTGTTTTGAATGAATGCAAACTAGTAATGTTTTTTAGTGCGAACTAACCCTTTACTGTATGCTTTGCCGTTTAACTCTAAGGCTTAGGATTCATTTGGTTTATTTTGTAACCTGCTCTGCATCTGATGCCTTTAAAAGCCAATTCACACTTCACAGACAAATGGCAACAAGCAAATTAACTATTGTATTTAGTTGTACTGTAAAATCAGTGATCCACAATTTAACAAACGCAGATTAAACATGTTAATTTGGGTGAAAACAAAACTCCGATCAATGGCAACAGATGCCGACTGATCCGACAAATTGTTTATTGGCGTTTGTGCGCTGTTAATTAGCATTTAAATGTTATCCATATCAACAGCCCATCAGGTTTTAGAGCAGAAATGACAATCGTTGTGGTCTGTAATGAACTTACCACAGTGGGCTTGAAGGGTGGCTCCACCTGTCGTTCCTCCAGCGCGCTCCAGTCTGTTTCTCTAAAGAAGGGATGTTGCCGTATATTCCCTTTCACGCCCAGCCTTCGCTCTGGCTCCCGGACAAACAGCTAAAACCAATCAGTGTTTTACTGTGTTATTTTATATACAAACACTGTTATAGTTCATAACAGAATCACAAGTCTTATATTGATCTCTAGTTCAGATATACCTTCACAAGAATGTCTCGTGCATCTCTAGTTAACCAGCGTGGGTAACAAGGGTCATCTGTGCGAATTGACTGAAACAGCTCTTCTTCATCGTGCCCATGAAATGGAGACTGGCCAATCAGCATCTCGTAAAGTAGGACGCCAAATGACCACCAGTCTACAGATGTCCCATATTTCTGACCAAGCAGTATCTGTGAGGTATAAAGTGCACATTATGTATTACAAATAACTTTTATTCACTTATTTGCATGGTTTAGGTATCTAACTTAAAACTATTGTGAATGGAGTTTTAGGGGTGTGTAATTTGGTAACACTTTATTTTGATGTTCCATTTGAGTTTTAGTAGACTGTCTGCTTTATATCTATTGATACTGCTTCTTCAACACATTTAACTGACTATAAGGAACTTTGCATGTACATGTCTACTACTTGTAACCTTATGAGAATTAGTTGGCATGTAGATGCAATGTAATTTAAATTTAACAAACGGACCACAAAATAAAGTGTGACCTGCAATATTTTATCATCTGCTTAAGATAATTTCATATTTGTTGATAAATTACATGCAAACTGAAAATGTTTGTGACCCTAGACCAAGGGTGGGCAAACTCGGTCCTGGAGCGCTGGTGTCCTGCACAGTTTAGCTCCAACTCTAATCACACTAACCTGTTTAGAGATTTCTAGTTATCTTGAAGACGCTGATAAGCATGTTCAGGTGTGTTTGACTAGTGTTGGAACAAAACTCTGCGGGGACACCGGCCCTCGAGGATCAAGTTTGCCCATCCCTGCCCTAGACTACAAAACCAGTCATAAGTGTCCATTTTTGGAAAATGAGATTTTACTCAGGTTTACCCAACGCATTTCAATGATTCTAGTTTTCTGTGTTTACGCATTTCTGCAAAAACATAAAATAAAATAAATTAAATAATAAATTAAATTGACTTCAATTAGCCAGAAATACGTGTCAACACGCACGACATGTGAGTATCTTTATCAGATCTTTACATTCAGGCAATGTACTGCATTTTTACTATAGGTCAAATAAATACACTGTTGATTTTTGTTAAAGAAGTATGACAAAAAACAGTTTCTAATAAAGTATACTTTGTATACTTTTCCAGTAGCGGATTGCCCTTGCTAATCAAATTGATTAAACTTATTTAAAGCCTCTGACTGATGTTTTAACCTAGTAGGACTAGGAAAAGTACAAGATGGGTATGTAACAAAATGATGGGTATAAATAAGATGGTTCAATATCTGGCTGGAAACTTTAAAGGGCACCTAGGTTACTCTTTTTTTCAGATTTAATATAAGTATTTTGTGTCTCTAGGATGTGTACGTAAAGTTTCAGCTCAAAACACCCATCAGATTTTTCATTATACCTTTTTCAAGATCATATTTTATACATTTTCCACCAGGGGGCTATTTTGTTGTATTGCACCTTTAAAGCAAGTACTCCTACGTGCCTTTCTGCGTGCCTTAATCTCCTCCCTCGGCTGCGTCAGACAACAAACAGACTTAAAGGAAGAAGATCTCACGCAGTGTTTGTGAGAAATAATTCTGTAAGAATCTCTACCAATGAGTATTTGTTTTGCAGTTGCATTGATGAGTCACACACAATATCGTTACAAAGTTCACGCGCGCACACACACAGACAGGGCGCTTAGCTTTGCACTGTTTTGCATGCATATGTGACAGGATACAGGTTAATCTCCACTGCTGTGTGGATATCTGTTATGTTTATGTAGAAAATCAACCTGATTTAACATCCACAAACCAGGTTTTCAGTGTCTTCCTTTATAATTGTTCTGACACGCAGCTGTGCTAATGAAGTAAAGCACTGTTTTAAAACATTTAAAACATGTGAAACTTACTCTTGATCACATTTGATGATGATTGATGATCCTAGCAAACTAAACAGACCTTCTATTCCCGGTTGCTTTGCGCACATTTGGTCTTGTTGACATGATTATACACGTGATTACCAGGACATGTTAATGCATGCAGCTGTCAATCAATTCGGTGGGCGGGGGGACCGCACTCCTATGTCAAGTTGCGGTCGAGCTGAAAACCGCTCCAATTGGTCCACCGTTTTTATGTTGTTAAATTGAAAAAAAAGGACTGGGTGTGTTTATATCACCCCAATATGATGGTCGATACACTATATCTACACATAAACAGCTTCATATATATCAATAAATGATTAAATGAATCACTCAAAGAGAGACACTTGTTACAACCTGGTGGTTTAATGACATTTTTATCATGACAGGCCTAAATTAGCAAAAATATACATGCAATGATTGATCGTTATTGGAATGAAAAAAAAAAAAATCAATATTCAGTATCATGCTCCCCTGTGTGTGTGATAGATATGCTCACCTCAGGGGCAATGTAGTCTGGTGTTCCACAGAAGGTACATGTTCTGGCTTCTCCAATTATGTTCTCTTTGCACATGCCAAAATCTGCAATCTTGATGTGGCCATCAGTGTCTAGCAAAATGTTATCCAGCTTAAGATCTCTGTGGTGGGACAACACATTATTAAATTAAGGAAGGATGATGTTAGGAAAAATAAAACATTTCTTTGATATTAAAAAATGCAGGAGTTTTTACCAGATAACTTAATAGCTATACAATTATAATATTTGGAATTATAACATTTGTAAGTATTTGCAAGTTCAATTGTTCTTAAGATCAAATAAGTAAAAATTGTGCAAGAAATTTGCATACTTTTACAGAAATACAGAAGAACTTAAGCAAATAATGCTAAGATTTTTCCACAAAATCAATACATTTTATAACAAAAATGTACAATTAATTAAACATTTTAGTCATTTAAATGTTTAAAACTAATTAAAAAAGCTAAATGTGAAATAAAAAATAAAAAAAATTAACCCCTGAAGACATTTTAACCATCTAAACCATAAGTCTCAAACTCAATTCCTGGAGGGTGGCAGCTCTGCATAGTTTAGCTTCAACAACCTCCAACTCACACCTGCTTAATAGTCTTTAGAAGTCTTGAACACCTTGATTAGTTGGATTAGCTGTGTTTGATTAGGGTTGGAGCAAAACTGTGCAGAGCTGCGGCCCTCCAGGAATCGAGTTTGAGACCTATGATCTAAACCAATCTTTTAGCTCTGAATGATTTGTGACTTTAAGTTTATAAAATGTATTTGTTTGTCTTATGTTTTTATATGCTCACCTGCCTTTTTTTCTAGAAGGAAATGGGTCTATTTCAATACCAATAACCATTTTTTAACACAAAACGCAAGAAAACAAAAATACTTTTGCATGAAAAGCATTGTTCCTAAATTAGGTTAAACTTTGTGTACAGCCATTTAAAAATAAATCAAATGTCTGCATTTTAATCAAACAAAGATTAACCTGTATAATTATTAGCAGTTTAAAAAAAATGTTAAAACCAGAAAATTTTTAAATCAGAAACAAACAAAACCAGAATGCCTGAATATTGGCTTTGTGAATTGTTGCTAAATAAAACATGCACTAAACAAAGTGATCCAAACTAATTCAGTCTATGCCAGTAGGTGGTGCTTAAAGAACAGCAGTAATGTAGGCTTTCCTTACTGCTGTAAGCAATGAAGCGATGTGCTTATAACCGTTCTTTAATATGCCTTATATTGAGTTAGATTAATCCAATAATGCATGTAAACTTAATGAAAGTAGCTCCAATTCAATATCTAGGTAACATTTTGTCACCTTAAAATTATAAGGTTCTATCTGCGTTCTAAATGATTTTGAGATATTGAGCTTTAAAGTTTTTGCATTCCATAGCAAACAGTGTGTAACATTTGTTTTTTGAAATAAAAAGTCTTAAAATGTGAAAAACTTATAAAAAAAACTTCCCATAATGTAAATAAGTTTTCATTTAATAAGAATATGTCAATAACTCATATTTGACGAAAATGTCAGATAGAACCTTATAATTCTAAGGTGACGATTTTGTATGTAGGTGCGACTCTGTTTTGACTTGTTTTTATCCTTTTTTATGGAATATATCCACACAAATACCGTTTTGGAAAATGAATGCATTGCAGTTTGTGCACCAGGACCAAGATCAACCCCAAAAATGTAAATAGATAAAATAGATGAAAAAAGATGATAGATGATAAAAAAAATGGTTGCACATTCGAAGTCAGTTTCTAGCCAGATAACCTCACTATACTTTGATTGATATAGTTTTTACAGTAGCGCATACCTGTACACAATGCCTTTAGAGTGTAGAAACTGCAGTCCACAGATGATCTCTGCTGCATAGAACCTATTGACACAGAGAAGAGGAGATGTGAGAGTGAAAAACAGAGTAGGCAGACTAGGCCTTTAAAAATCTGTGTGTGGGGGCTGTATGTAGCTCACGTGGATCGTGGGAGGTCAAATCTGTGACAGGTCTGGATGTGGAACATTAAGTCGCCTCCGTTTAAGTACTCCATCACAAAGAAAAGATTTTCCTTTAGAAAAGATACAGAAGCAGAGCAGTTCAGGCTGGTCAAACAAAAGCACAGTACTTTAATAACAAGAGTGACTCAATGTGTGTCATGGGGGTTTGGCAGAATGTCAAAAAGCATAGTATCTCATAGAATTTTATGGCTATCACTCACTGTAAAAAAAACAAAAAAACAATTAGTTACCTTACTTAAAGTGAATAAACCTGCTGCTTTAAAGTCATCATGTGGTTTTACATATAAAAAGTGACTAAACCTGTTGGAACTTGGAAGTTGGTTTAATTTAATTTACATAGTTATGCACTGTTCATTCTTAGTAATTTATAAGACAACCGATTTACTCACTTTGTCAAATAATTACTTTAAAAACAACAGGTTTACTCACTTGTTTAAGTGAAGTCAGGCTGCACAATATTGCAATAACAATCTATTATTGCAAATCTTTTTATTTTATTTATTTTATATTATTATTTTTTTTATTTTTAACTATTGCAATATGAACACATGTAATGTGAATTGGGAAGCTGACAAGGAAGTGTGAATATAAACGCAGGTTTATTGAACAGAGAATAGTCAGGCAAGTAACAGTCAACATAGGAGCAAACAGATGTATACGGGCAATCCAAAGTCATGGTCGGGCAGGCAACATACAGAAATAAACAAACAAAACAAAACAAGGTTTAAACAAGGCAAAGAAAATGCATCCCAATGTTCACAAAACTATTCAACAAGACTCAGCAACTTCTGTGTGTTTGTGTGCTGACTTTATTGTCCATGTAATCAGTTCGTGAGCGGCTTCAGCTGTGAGTGTGTGCAATCAGGCATGATCTAGGCCAGGTGTGTGAGTGGTGCATGACTGGATCTAGTTCTTTTGCTGGCAGTTTTGTAGTTCTCCAGCACTCTGCATGGGCTAGATCGCTGGTGACTGTGATAACACAGTTTCACAAGATAATAGCTCTATTTGACGGTTTTCTGGGGAGTCTAACAGGATTCAGGTACAGTAATTGAATATTCACTATGGCAAAAATGTTTTATTTTACATTGCTTTTTCTCGTTTCTGGTCCAAATATCTAAAAACTCTAAGTAAAACATTGTTTTGTTTTCAACTTCAGAACAAATAAGTTAATGTGAGGTTTTTCCTTAAAACAACAAAGTGTGTGGAGGTAGTAAAAATATTTTATTTTTCGCTTTGAGATGTAAATATTTGGAAACAAGACAAAAATTCTAAATGAAACCTTTTTGGCATAAATCATATAAATACAGTAATAAAACACAGTTCTGTAGCTTAACTGTAATTCAGACTTAAAATTGCATATCTTGCGATATGACAGTTGCGAATTTGTGCACATTGCGATATCGATACTGAAACAATATATTGTGCAGCCCTCTTATATATTATTATATAACACAAAATAAGATATTCTGAAAAATGTTTGAAACCTGTAATCAATGACTTCAATAGTAGGTCAATGGTATCAGGATTTCAACATTCTTCAAAATATCTTCTTTTGCATTCAACAGAAGAAATAAACTCTTAAAGCGTGAGTAAATAGTGAGTACATTTAAATTTTTTGGGTGAACTATCCCAAGTGTGTACTGCACATTTGTCTTGCAAAAAATGAACAAAATGAATGCAAACTTTATTGATATACTGAATAAAGTGTGTAATTTCTAGCAGCAAAATAAAAAATGTCAGTGTGTATTACCTTGGTCTGGAAGGTACAGTAGAGGTGTGTGAGGAAGGGGTGATCCCAAGCTAGAGATAACACTCTCCTCTCCACCATAGTGCATTCAACATCATCGTCCATCAGAACCACATCTTTCTTTAATGCCTTCACAGCAAAAAACTGCCCTGAGCCTTTCAGCTCAGCCAGAAAAACCTACAGCACACATACACATCATTTGTAGAGAATCATAATTAGACGACTCTATAGTCCTGTATGCTTCCAGATGCAAATCACAAATGGTTTGGTAGTCAAATTCTCATTTAGCTTGCAATGTTATAATGACATCAGAGTTTTTACAACCTAAAAAATAATTAGGTTTCCGTCTTTTGTGATTGACAAGTGTTTTCCATTTACTTAGTTATGAATTGCATTATGGGACCTTGATCCACAGTTCATACCTTGAACTCCACAGTTTATACAGGCAATATACACCTTTAAATACTTACAAATGTTAATAAAAATTACCTTTTTTATTTTCAAGGTTAAAAGTTGTTGAGGGAAACATCTAGGTCTGATAATGCTATTCAAAAGCATAAATAAAGGGGAAATATTAATCACAAAATATGAAAAACTGCTAATTTATGGATATTTTTTGTTACATCATAGGGCTTTAATAATAATAATAATAATAATAATAATAATAATAATAATACATTTTGTCATTGTAAATTGCTGAAGATTTTATCACAGTATTCAATATTATCCCGATATTGATCTAAGCTGCAAAAATATTTAAATGAAGATGTTTAATAACAAAAACACTTAGTGTATTGCTTCATTGTACTGTAATTACAATATATTTAGAATAAACAAATGTTTCAACAAAATTCAAATGCAAACGGAGTATAAAGTACAATAGGTAACATTTTATAATAAAGTCTCACTAGTAAATGATAGTTGACTGATTAAAGTCATCAGTAAAAAAAAAGCTAGAGAACAGCTACTTTGTTAATATAAGCAAAGACAACAACATAATTATATTAGTTATGAACACCATTTAATAAAATGATTAATACTAAAGTGTTATTAGGCATAAACAGTGGTGGTAAGAGTACAAAAAAATTGTACTCAATTACAAGTACTGTTACATTGCTGAAATTGTACTCAATTACAAGTTAAAGTACTGGTGTTAAAAAGTACTCAAGTAAAAGTACAAATTACTCTTCGTAAAAACTACTCAAATTACAAAATTACAAATTACTTTTTTAGCTTGGCGATATTGGTGGAATTATCCATGAATGCGGAGTCAGACAAGATCCAGGCAGTAAAACACATTTTACATAACACATCTAAAGATACTATAAACACTTTTAAAACTGTGTAAACAGCATTAATTATAGATTATAATTATAGAGCACCTATAGAGGAAACCCACGCCAACATGGGGAGAACATGCAAACTCCACACAGAAACACCAACTGACTCAGCCAGGGCTTGAACCAACAAACTTTTTGCTTTGAGGCGATAGCGATACCCACTGCGCATCATGATTATTTTACAAAAACAATGTTTTGCTATTTTGAGTATAAAGATAACAGAAATATGCACAAATGCACGACTTTTTATCATTTCAAATGATGCCTCTTTTATCTGTACGATCAATAGATGATTTAATTAGAAAAAAACACTTGCAAATTATGGAGAAACTTTTTTAAATACCTAATTCATGAACTGAACCATCAAAAACCACAGAACAACACTGCCTAGTGCCTAAACATATTATTAATAAATTAAATATCACACAAATTAAGTTGTCTTCTTACCATAATGTTTTTTTTTTTCAGATTATAGACTGAAGTCTTGTAAAAAAGCTTGTTCATTCCGCTGTGGCGACCCCAGATTAATAAAGGAACTAAGCCAAAAAGAAAATTTATGATTGATTATAAAGTTTTATAACTATTCAGGATTTTTTAAAGCAAATTTTGATGCATCACTCACTTTTGTTTATATCTCGGACAGTTCTACCTATTAAAGTTAAATATCAATGACAACAAAACATGGGTTACTCTACAATTTTTTTTTTATTCTGGCAAGAATAATAGCAAAAAAAAAAAAAAAACATTTTTTGCCCACTCAACAATTGACACATTATTGTCTGGCTAGTTTCTGTCCTCTACTAATGAGCTGAAAAGGCAATAATGGTCCAACAATCCTGTCCATCATCACCAATAAAGCCTAGAAATTGGGCATCAGTTAACTGTAAGTCGATGGGTTCATATATTATTGTCCAGTTATTAAATACCTAATTTGTTACTTAATTTGTGTTACATTGCTTTAACTTCAAAATGATACATCAGTGTAAAACCTACAAATGGTGGAAAAACATATTCTGTAATCTTAAAACCACCTGGGTCTCCACTTTTGCCATGGCCTCTTTTTTTGTTGTAACAAACTTATCCCCCAGGTTTTTCCAAACTTTAACAAAACACTTCCTTTCCATGGCTGTTGCAATTTCTAGCCAAGAATTATTGGTCATCTGGTTATCTCTATGCTGATCACGCATGGTCGGATAGTTAAGATGTCTGTACAGCTGTACTGTTACAGACAAAATCTCTTCAAAGCGCTTCAAATTCAACTCAAATCAAGCGCGGCGCCGCGCGAACTGTTCACCCGAAATCATGTCGCGCGCATCCAAAGTGAACCTCCGCAAACACGGCGATGACGTCACATTCGCCGCGCGCACTGAGCTATTGCATGCTGGTATTATTTGTAGTTTTAATACTGCAAATCACAATAGGACTAGTGAAATAAAGAACTACACCACCACGAAACCAAGCAACAACAAAAAAATAATTTAAATGAGCATTACCGTACGTTCACACCGAAAGCGGCGAGAGCGTCAAAGTAGCCGGAAGTCATTCATTTTCAATGAGAGCCGGCGGCGAAAGGCGGCGAGGAGCAGCGCGGCGCGTCTTCGCCGGCGTGAGCGTCGAGGAGAGTTGAAATGAAGTCAACTTTATGGTAATGAGCTATGACGCGGTTCAGCGGCAAGCAATCAGAATGAAGACGTCCATCGATTGATAGCAGTTCAGAGAACACAGACCTGTGAACTTTGGTTCCGACCACAGTTGTTCCCAAGGGTTTGATTATTGCGGTCGCCGGCTTTCCAATTATTTACATTTTTTTTCCTAAAGGAACATTAAATAAGTTACTGGCGAGTTACTGATGTTCATTAATGTTATACAAATTTATCTTAAAAAGCGGGAATCTCACGCGATGTGACAGTACAAAACAGTACTGCTGCTTCAGGATATTTCAGACATATGGACACATATTGGATAAATAGAGCAAAGCCACACCACACGCAACTTGATCTTCCATTGTTGTATGAATTTGATAAGAAGTGCGCAACATTTTCACGCTAGAAACATGTTTTATGCAGGAATGTAACTGATATGCTGCAACGGCTCCTTTAAATATGAGATCAATGTAGCGAGTTTTGACGCTCTCGCCGCAGGAGCTGAAGGCAGAGAGCGTTGTCGCCAGGGCGGCCAGAGCGACCTTGGACGCTCTCGCCGCTTTCGGTGTGAACGTACGGTTAGGAGTAGCGATACATGTACCTCGGAAAAATAAGACCTGTGCAAACATATTTCAGATCTAGAACAGCGAATTTAAGACTTTTTAAGGCCTAAAATTTAGATGTTTATATTTTAGACATTTTAAGACCCCACGGAAACCCTGTGTAAGTTGGATGGCACAGCAGAGGGCAGGTTTCATCCACTTATTTTATGCGCTTTTTGGATATGCACATAAAAACGGTTGATGGAAACGCTATAATGCGCATATATTTTGAAAATGTGTGTGAATGGACAAACCAGCTGGCTAAGCACATTGTAAAACATCTTAAGTGTTGTTTTGGACATTCTAAACCGCCTCAACCATTTCAGTATTATATTATATTAATAATGAGCTCCAGAATTGTCAAGAGTGCCCGCACTCCGTGTCTCGCGCCTTCAAACGCCAGCGCGCGTTCACTGCGTGCAGGATTGCCTTCTGATGCGCAAGTCACTTATTAAATGAAGATAATTTATTCACGCAGCTGCTCCTACTGATGCAAATTCTGTTTTTACTTTTGGAAATTTGTCGCCAGTTAATCAGAAAGGTGGCAATTTTGTTCTCTTCGACTTGATGGACAGAAAAGCTGCTTTATTTGCAGTCTTTAATGCGATATTCCAGTTTTGGGCATACATTTAATTAGCATTTTAGATGATAACATAGCTATTCACATCAGCGCATCTGTCCCCTTTCTTCCCTATATACCTGTAGGTGAACAGCTCCTCCGGGTGTGGCCATGCATTCATCCTCTGCTATTTCTTCCTCATTTCTTCTGTCTTAAATCTCCATATGTCAATTGATAACTTTGTGACTGTATGATGGCGGTCACGTAAATCTGCAGTAGCCTGAACTTGTTTTTCGGTTCAAATAATGTACCAGGCTTTTCATTGGTCCGTTAAGATCAGCTTTTTTATTGGCTACCGAAATGCTGGTCAGTGCGTGGCTGAAATATTAATTTATTTACAGTACTTTGTAACGAATTGTGATTTTAAAAGTAACGAAGTAGATTACTCAGCTTAATTTGTACTCAAGTACAAGTAAAATTACAGGCTTAAAATTCTACTCATGAAAGTACAATTACACCAAAAATGTACTTAATTACAGTAACGTGAGTAGTTGTAATTCGTTACTCCCACCACTGGGCATAAATAAGACTTTAACATGACCTAAGAATGACCTAAGATAAAAAAACATGCCTTGATCTATTAAGCTAACCGAATAAGTTTCATTTGGCATGGTTATAAACACAACTGCAAATACAATGTGAACATCCTCAAAAAGCATTGAAATATTTTTTCATAGTATTTGGAAATGGAAACAATATCGGTATTTGGTACATCTGTTCATTATCATGATATATCGAATTATTATATATCATACGCCTAGTTTAAACATACACAATAAGGGGATTGTTTTTTCAAAACATTTGCTCTTTAAAAAAACACGTCTGTAGATCCTAAATCGGCAAACTAAAAATCCAAAATAGATGAAACATTTTGAGTTTGAAAAAGTGAAAGCTGAAAATCTACTATTTGCTGTGTTGAATACCACTCTTACCTTTCCAAAGCTTCCTTTGCCCAGCATCTTATGCAGGATGAAGCTGTCTATGGTGAATTTGTGGTGCTCTTTGCGTGGGGTGGCGTAGAGGGGCTCAGGCTCTTCAAGACTGGGTCTGCGTCCGTCAGCTGGAGAGTCCCATGAAATACCTTGATGCTCTATGCAAGAACGAAGAGTTGGGCATCAATCAATCAATCAATCAATTAATCAATCAATCAATTGATCAATTCTAAAATGTATTGAGTTGCTCAAGGGAATATTTATAGGGATTAGATAATTGACCATAAGCATAGTCTTAAGCATTCATTTAGTATTTCAAGAATAAAACGAGATGGAATAGAATTAAATCAAACGTCTATGAAAATGAAAATAATATGTTCATATTTTAAAAACATGGCATTGCACAATGCATTATTATGTAGTGTTTTTTTATAGCAGATGACGCTATATGCAAGTTGTGAACAGATGGTGTTCTACTTTTTACTTTTTACTACTTTTTAACAGAAGATGGTGCTATAGGCTATGTTTTAATAGTCTATGGCGCTCTGGGCTAGTTTTTAACAGCAGACAGAACTCTAGGCTAGTTTTTAACACCTGATAGTGCTTTAGGCTAGTTAGCAACAACTAGACTAGTTTTTAACTACAGATGGTGCTCTAGGCTAGTTTTTAATAGCATATGGCGCCCTGAGCTAGTTTTTAACAGCAGAAGGCACTCTAGGCTAGTTTTGAACAACTGATAGCGCTCTAGGCTAGTTAAAAAAATAAGACTAGCTTTTAACAACAGAAGGTGCTCTAGACTAGTTTTTAACAGCAGATGGTGCTATATGCTATTTTTTTTCTGGGCTAGTTTTTAACATCAGACAGCGCTCTAGGCTAGTTTTTAACAACTGATGGTGCTCTAGGCTAGTTAGTAACAACTAGACTAGTTTTTAACAACAGAATGTGCTCTAGACTAGTTTTTAAGAGCAGATGGTGCTATAGGCTAGTTTTTAATACCATATGGTGCCCTGTGCTAGTTTTTTAACAGCAGAAGACACTCTAGGCTAGTTTTGAACAACTGATGTTGCTCTAGACTAGTTTTTAACAGCCCATGGCGCTCTGGGCTAGTTAATAACAACTAGACTAGTTTTTAACAACAGAAGGTGCTCTAGACTAGTTTTTAACAGCCCATGGCGCTCTGGGCTAGTTTTTAACAGCAGAAGGCAAGCTAAGCTAGTTTCGAACAACAGAAGGCGCTCTAGACTAGTTTTGAACAGCAGATAGCTCTAGGCTAGTTATTAAGATGGCACACTAGGCTAGTTTTTAACAGCAAATGGCAGTCCAGGCTGGAAGCAAATGCCGGTATAGGCTAGTTTTTAATAGTAGTCACTGCAAGTTAATAACAACAGATGGCACTCTAGGCTAGGCATTTACAGATGGTGCTCTATGATGGTGCGCTATGCTAGTTTTTAAAAAAGCAAATACTGCTCAAGGCTAATCTTTAACCACACACTCATAAGGATGAGCACTTGTGTGTTCAGCAAAATCATGCAAGCTGCTTTTATGTCACTAGATTAATGTTAACACAGCCCACACTCGAGACTTATTTACTCAAACCTTTATTCCCAACTTTATAAATGATTATTTTAAGTTCAAGTGGTATTTATGAATTAGGATGCAAGCAGGATACGGCTCTTTGTAAACCATACAGCAACTTCTGCTGCTAAAAACGAAGCATGAATCAGAATTGATTCATGAGAAAATAGCGGTGCATTTTGAAAATCTCATAAGCAATTACCTTTGCGTGGTAGCGGTGGTGCAGGCGTAAGGGGGGAAATCGCTAAGCGTCCTGAAGGCTCTCTAATGACCCCTGGTTGATCTGCGCTGACCGGACCCTCTCGACCAACAGTCTCAGTATCCCGGGAGCTCCGAGCTTGCTGTAAAATTTCATTTCATTTTATTTAATATTACTCTTCTATTTAATTTACATTTTTACACTGTTGTCTGTGATGCTCGATTCAAATTTGTCAGTTGCGAAATTTGAAGGTATGTTATTCCCAGATAACATCTGCTGAATAAAACAGGCTCATCTTGGAACTTTGAATCAATCTACCATTAGTGAATATGTCCATTAGTTCAAATTTATATACATACTTCCACATTCATATGTATCTGCTTGTCTGTCCCGCTGCTACATTTGACTGTTTGACTGTTATCTTGTGAATAAATAATATGTAAGGTTAGTCTATGCTTTATTTCATTTCTGTCAGTTTGTGTTGTTTGTCACCATCTTGTGACTCAAAGTGCAGGTTATTGTATTGTAACAGCCAATAAGAATCAGAATTCTGTTATTTCAGTGGTAAATCAAAGTCTAAATGTTTCCACCTTGACATAGTTTTATTTAGATTGTAAATAAATGTAAATGTAGATTTAATTATATATTAGCTGTTAAAAATATCTATTATGACCTGTTTATTTTTGTATGATTATTACATAAATAGTTTAAATAATTGCGGATAAAATCGTTTGTTAGTTTTATCATAAGAAATGTTGATATTTATATTATAAATGTTGCAATTGTAACAAAGATATGGCATATGGAATATTTTTCTAGTATCATGCAGCCCTATACACATCTTAATTCAATTTTGTGATTAATTCCTCACGATAATTTCTACAATCTTCCTATTTAAACGACCGAACAGCGGTAAAGGGCATTGACATTTGTTACATGCTTGTTTTCTAACCTGTTGAGTGCTCTCAATCATAGCCAGGGCCTCTGCCATTAGCTTCTGGTTGACGCCACAAAGGTTTGCTACTTTCTTCTGACATTTATGGTGAACGTTCATGCCACACTCTGCAAAGAAAACATTAAAATTAGTAAACCGAAACTTCATGTAGACATTAAACATTATTAAGTATATTTATATTTAATAATAAGTCATTCTTGTTAGTTTTAGGGTGAATTTGCACTACACTGCTTCAGAGGTTTTCAGGTAAATGCCTTATTTAATGTGCCTTATTGGCTTTTTAAATGCCTTATCAAAGTGCCTTATAGTTTTTTTTAATGAATAATTACATTTTACTTTTAATATCCATTTATATAAGCATTTTTTAACAAGCGTGGACAGATGTAGAACATTTTGGCTGATACTGATATTTCATTTTTAAATGTCATTTACAAATTGAATTTCTGAACTCTTCTTTTTGCTAACATAAACTCAGGCATTTGTTTTCTGAATGTTATGTATCATGCAGTACGTAAAGCACAAATCAACAGCATATATCTAAAGTGTAGAAATAACTCCTAATTTATTGGCTAATAATTAATTTTCTTTTTGGATTACAATGACAACATTATGCCATTACCGTAATGGCAGCTATTGATATGACCTCCGATGCATATGGCAATACTAATTTCTAATTTATCATCTTGTGGACCTCCATTACCATATCTATTCTGTTCTGTTAAAGACATCTGTACTGCAATGTCAGTGTACTATAAAAAGAAAAGAGGAAACACTATAAAAAATGCTGAGTTCCATGGTCCATATTGTCACAAAACAAATCGATTAAATTAACATAATAATTTTTTACAAATTTAAGTGGATTGAACTTAAAATAATTAAGTTGTCCGAAAAATACCTTAAGAATTGTGTTGTTTTAACTCATTTTAAATAAGTAGTTTGAACAAGTAGTTAAAGTAATTTTTTGACTCCAAATCAAACTTTAGACTCGCATAGCCAGATAAATTGTTAAAAAGTAATTACCTACTTAAATAACTAAAAGTGAGTTAAAATTGACAAGGGGACTTTACTTAGTGATTAAACTCATAAATTGAGTTTACCTAATTTTAAGGCCTTGGGTTTACTCAGTGTGAACTAATACATTTAAATGCAGCAGATTAACTTTTTTTTTTAAAGAGTAAATTCAACCAATCACGTTTTACAGTGCAAAATATACTTTATAATCAAATTATGATGAATGTTATTTTATAATGTCCTTTTATCAGCTTTTATTGTGTAAGCTAAATCATTTTTTTGTTCAATGGAAAGGTTGTTTCTTGATAGAACAGTATAGAAATTTACTTTAAATTGGTTATGAACTCAAAAATCTAAACTTCCTTGATATTTTGAGATGAGGTCATTGTATGCAGTTAATATAGTAACTGTTTTTTCATTGTGTATGTATTGCTTTGCCTGTTAAATGCTTGTTCACTCAAATTAAAATCTATTTTTAATTGCTTAATTTCTCGCCCTCCAGTCATTTAAATATCCTGAAATATTTGTTTATTTTCAATACAGAAATTAGGGTATTTAAGATAAAATTGAAGAGCTCTCTCATCATCCATATACAGCACGGTTCAGAGATAATTTTTTAAAAAATAACCCAAAATATTGTCAAAATAGTAAAAAAAATTATTATTATTAATTATTTTTTTACAATTGTAATCACACACAAATCACAAAGGACACTTTTGTGCACGCTTTTACTATTTGCAGCATGACATATTGCCATAGGAGTTACATAAGCGCCAAATTGCCTGTAGTAAACACAAAAAGACACAGGCGAACATTTTTTTTTTTTTTTGTAATGTACAAAAGTGTTCTTGGAGCTTGATGGGTTTAATCTTTAACACTAAATTCACATGAATTGTTTTGACAAAGTTTTTGTTTCCTTTTCCAGACTTTGAACATCTCATGACTGTTGGAGGGTCAGAGAACTCTTGGATTTCATCTAAATTTGTGTTCTGAAGATGATTTAAGGTCTCAGGAGACTGGGAAAAACATGATGGTGAGTAATTACTAACATAATTTTCATATATGGGTGAACTAACCCTTTTAAATAATCTGTACATTTCAAAACATGTATTTAAAGTGAATGATCACAGTGACATTCATCTGTAAAAGATGTACATAAGCTGTCAAGCACACATGCAGATTTTACATCAGTGGGCACACAGATGAACCATTTTAAATATGCAAACTGTTGGTCAATTAAAGCAGTGGGTGTTTATTTCCAAGTATGATTAATGCATCAAGTATTACTTGTTCAAACATTGAGTTGATGAGGGGGCAGAAATTTTATGATTTTGATGTATAAGTAGTAACATTATAAGTAGACAATAAATGAAGCAGTTCATAACTGATTTAAAAATGACCATTTTTGAAATATAAAAAAGTTATACAGTTATTCACAGTAAGGTATACACAATTTTTATGTAAACACTTTACAGGTTTAAATGATGTCTTGCACATGTATGGAAAAATAGATACAAAAACATTTGTATGTCGAATAAGATATATAGCCTACGTTTCTGTAAAAACGAATACTATTGAAATAACTGGTTTTGTAATTGATGCTTAAGTCGATATAACCTATTTAAATTTGCATAAAGTGTGCGATTTGAAGATTGAAAATATAGGCGTTTATTGGAGTCGCATTTATGTGACCAAATATAAATGGAACTGTTTTCATAAATCCAAATAAATCTATCCAATCAGAGTAAATGCATGAAGTGAGCAGATGTAAACAGATCCTGAGACTCTGATACAGCTGTGTTTGTGTAATGAATCACCTTCACATTTAAGGCCCTGTCGAGCAAGACCCCACAATAAGGTACCACAGTGCTCACAAAACGTAGGGCTCATGTAGTTGTACACTTTAAACCTGTGAGGCATGTCAATCTTAAAGCGTTCCTTGTGGATCTAAAACAGACAAACACAGATTTAGTGCATTTTACAACATTAGCCCTGAAGCAGGCTAAATTATTTAAATTAATTTACTATGGAGGTTTCTTTGTTTATCTGTTAATTTCTCTGTCAATGCTACTAGAAATTTGTGTGATTTACAGTCCCTTTACTGTACATTTACTGCACAACCATTAGAATTAAAAATGCTGTGTTAAAATATATTTGCAATAATTGTATATATGTTCATATATGGCTTTGGATGAGTGATTTGGAAAAGAAATAGTAATATTATAGATTAAAATACAAGTCAAAAGCAATATTGCCTGAAAATAGTACTGCAACAGTGCTGTGTAAAAACATTGGGCCTGCTACAGCTACTGTATGTTACGGCAACAAAATTCCTTTATTTTTACACCAAAATGAAAATATAGTTTCTAGACATATAAACATTTTTATTTTCGTCGGGCTTAGCACACCAAGCTTCAAATAACAAAATGATTAGAACTCTTTTCAAAAATAATTTGCTAATGCTAATTTGCTAATGGTCTAATCCGATTCAATGAACTCTGCTAAGCTAAACGAGCTCCCACCAAGCCCAAAAGTCAGCTGAATGGATTCAAAACCAGTAAAACTCAACAGTTTAACTCTAGGTGACTTGTAAAATAAGGCTATTTCCAAAAAAAGTGTAGTGTTCCTTTAATTCTACTTAAGTGCAGTACCCCTCTGGTCATAGAAATAAGTCCATAAAATGAATTAGCAATAATATTATATATGTTCATACGTGGGCAAATTTTAGTATAGCAGAGAGGTGCATAAGACAGATAAAATTAAGAGATCGGAAATTAAGTAGTCATATTATAGATTAAAATTTAATTATCGATTAAAAAAAAAAGTCAAATGCAATATTACACAGAAAAATAAGGCTATTTCCAAAAAAAGTGGAGTGTTCCTTTAATTCTACTTTAGTGCAATACCCCTCAGGTCATAGAAAAAAGTTCATAACATACTCCTTGACTGTCAGTGTGACTCAGCACAGTGTGGTAAAAAACATTTTGTAGCGTCTACTAATAACTCAGAGGAAGAAGTGTGAGACAAAGATGATTCATTTCATGAAATATTTGCAATGGTACTTTTATCTGCAGAGTAATGAAGCTTTAAAATTAGCCAACAATTGCTAAAAATATCCTAAGGGTCTCTTATTTATATCTGTCAGTGCACAGTAGCAAAACTCAGATTTTTATTTACCATGGTTTCTTTGCTGTTTACGGCTGAACCTGTGCATTTGGCTATGACTTTGTCAATACACTTTTTGTGGATGGCAGCATTGCATTCTGGGGGAAAAACAGACAGAAGTGGGTAGGAGTCATCATCATGACGGTGAATTAATGGAAACTTGTTTAGGAACTGCAACAGCTTTGAGGATGTGAAAAACGAACTTACGTCGACACTGGTATCCCTGTTTGTTCAGGCCCCTGAGGTAGAAAAAGGAAAAACATTACTCCATTGCCTAATTTAATACAGGGGAGTTCAGTCTTTTTGATTCCATGGGCACCATAGATACTTATCCTCATGCAAAGGGTGTCATCCTAAACTTTTTATAGTTTCTATATAATTTCTTGTATACAGATTCAATGTATTTTGTAAAAAATATATTAATATTATAAATGAGTTTAAAATATTATAAATGATAAACATTATACATCATATCAGCATACATTATATAATTAAGTTATTGAACTTGATAATAAATGCAGTACCATGTTTTATACAATATAATATTCTACTAAATATAGTATGGTAATTGTTTATTTTATTAACTTAAGTTTATTTGTTTAATTTCTTTTTTATACTTATTCTGATAATTGTTTTTATTATTTAGATCTGGTATCAATGTAATTGAACTTTTGTATTATTATTGTTATTATTATTATTAGTGTATTATTATAATTTATTTATTATTCATAACCTTATTTAGTTGTTTTGTTTATTATTACTGTTATTTACTTTAATTATTTATTTGCTAAAAATAAATTAATAATAATAAAAACTGAGTTATCTTTTATTTATTTTTGTCATTTTCATATTAATATTGTTATTATTTATTTATTTTTTAACATAATTTTTTTTAATGCCTATGGTTTGGGGAAAATATTAACCTTTTGATTTTTTTTGTTTGTTTATACTTATTCTGATATAATTATTTAAATCTGATATGAATGTAATTAATAATTCATATTTTAGTAATTATATTTACAGAATTTATTTGTATTATTTTTTAAATGGAAGATAAGTTTGTAGTTTTACCCATATTGTATATTCAATGAATGTAAAAAAGAAGTTAAGCTGATGCATTGAAATATGTATCGTATTTTTATTATTTTATTATTTGTAAAATGCCTATGTTTTGGGGAAAATAGTATTAACCTTTTATTTACTTGTTTCTGCATGTTTCTACACAATCGTAACACAATAGATGTTATGAATCTATAACACAATATTATTACTTTTTAGTTGTACTAAAAATACATTACGAGGGCTGAATCAGGGGTGTCCAAAGTCCCTGATTTAGGGAGGGCCAGTGTCCTGCTGAGTTTAGCTTCAACTTGCTTCAAAACACCTACCAGTAAGTTTATATAATAGTAGGAGATTTATTTAGCTGGTTTATGTGTGTTTGATTAGGGTTGGAGCTAAACTCTCCAGCACCGACCCTCCAGGACTGAGATTGGACACCCCTTGGTTAAACAGAGAGGGTAAATTCCTAAAAAAATAAAAAAATATATTTTTTGGAAATTGTTACAGAGTATGTGTAATACCAGACAAACTCCTTGCAGACTGAACAGAAGGTTGGTTGAGGGAAAAAGGTGGCTGTAAACTCATGGCATTTGACCACATGAACTTTAGCCTGTTTAATAGCTCCTCGTCTGTGATGAAGGGCAAACACCCCTTCTTTTTCCCGTTCAGTCTCTCCATCTCCTTCACCATGACCTGCAGCATCTAAAAAACAAACACCCAGCCCCACACAGAAGTGTCAAAAAGTATTAGAGTATTCTAAACCCTGATTGACAACCCCTGAGCTAGAGGTATCAGAAATGGATTATAACATAATAACTTAAATAACTGTTAAGAAATTAATCTTTATTTGACCATATGTCTATGTGATTTAAATAAACGCTCACCACTTCTTTCCAGAAAATACCGTGCTTCCATCAGTAAACGACCCTGTGGCTTCAGTTCCACCTATAATAGATAAAATGTATATTTATTCAAATTATTGAAAAAACATTCAATACCATTTATAACATTTGATTTATGTTGTGGCAATTGGCAAAAGGTAAAAAAGCTAAAAAAAAAAAAAAAAAAAAAATTTATATATATATATATATATATATATATATATATATATATATATATATATATATATATATATATATATATATATATATAGTCTTATCTTTTGGGAGAAATCTGTGTCATTTCCGGTTAATAAATAAATAAATAAATAATAATAATAATAATAATAATAAACTTTTTGGTTAAATAAAATAAATTTTAAGTCAGAATAAGCCAAGGGAGTGCATACTTTCGGGCTTTACTATTATAAAACACATTTCTGTGTTTCTTTTTGTTTGTTTGTAGGGCTTAGTGTTCAAATTCACTTAAAATGCAAGTTATTAAATAACCAACACATTCTTGCTCCCGACTTGTCAATTTTAGTCTTTTTGTGGTGCTCCAGGTATCACTTTAGCATAGTTTTATGATGCTCTGAGTTCATCAATGGTTTTGGTCATTCGAATTATGCTTCCCATTAAATGGTTTGCTTGTATTTGTAAAATAGAAATAATTTCATAAATATGGAGCACCTATCCCAAATCTAACCTTAACCATACCCATTTTTGAACCACAAAAACAAGCAGCAGAGAAATAAAAGCTCAGTCATGTGTAATTACATATATGTATATGCAATGTTGCATTCCAAGTCCTGTGAAGAGACTTCTTTTAAAAACATAAATCTTACTGCAATTAGAACCTTTGAAAACTAAAACCCTTTTAAAAAATGGTGTATATAAATAATATATTGCATTTTTAGAAGTATTTTACTTATTATTTTATATGTTCTCTGTCATTTTGATCGAAAAGCAACCTAACAAGAAAATATTTGTATATAATAATAAAACTGTTATTTGTACTGCAGACTACATAATTGTTTGCTTGGATAGAGAGTTGTGAGAACTCAGAACTTTAGTCAAATAATGTTGTTTTCAATATACCATGTAAATTAAATGCTTATAATAATTTTTATAATAATTGCAACCTTTGTTGTCATAATACTGGAATTTTCAACTTTGATACAATACCTTGAAAAATATCAATATTTTGATACCACGATGAACACATTCTAAAACATTAAGAACTGAAGAAAAAAAGCATAAAAATATGAACTGTATAATGTTTGCATTAAATAAATAATATACCAGGTATGCCAGTAGTCCTTAAGTCCAAAGACAAAAAAATTAGGGCTGAGCCGATAAACGATATTTTATTGAATCGTGAAAAAAAATAGTCAATAACAATAAAAATCTCCGGACTTTTTTTTACTCTGGCTCTTAGATCAATATAATCACACAGCAGAAATGTGCAACAATAGGAATCTAAAAGTGTGTTGATATTAGAGAAGTATATACTGAATTTTTGGCCACCAAATATTTATTCCTGGATTTAATGTTAAATTATAGCAGCTAAAACTATGTAAGTAAGTTTTTTTTTTTAGCTGAAATAAAATGAAACTAATGAAAATTGACTTTAGAATAGTACATGGGAAGTGGATTCTGGAAATTGCATATTAAGTATTGAATTTAATTATAAAAATATGTGTTTTTATTTTAGGTAGAAATATTCACAGCTTTAATAAACACCTAGGTTAAATCACAGGACCTAAAAAATACAAATACTGGCATTTCAAGTCATTAAAATTAAAGCACTTCTTAATTCGATATAGCACTTAATTTTTTTCAGTAGGTGCTATTTGACAAGCTTTTTATTTCAGTCATTTTGGCATTATTATTGTCCTATACCTTTGCTTACATGCTGTGCGGCAAGCTCTGAAAGTGAAAGTGAACTTGAACTGAGGCTTGATCTCTTTCTGAACTTACAGGGTATTTTTCTTTTTTAAATAGAAGAGCTCTGGCAATAACACGCTATATAATCTACATTTTCATTTACCTAAAAAAAACTAATTAAAAAGATTAGAATGGTGTTAGTTCCTCTGAGAACTTTCTCACTCAATACATGCCGTGTATACAGATGAATGAAAGTTAAAAGCAATGTGTTTGCTATTTTTGTATTTTTGCCTTATTAGTTCAGTAAAATCACTGTCTATTGAGACTATATGTCTGTTCCCGCAGAGAGCTCATTCTCTCAATGAGTGTGATTCAATGTGATTATACTAATTTTAATTCAGCAAATATTTTTTAAAAGCAAATCATTTAAAAAGTAATCTAAATAATCTAAAAAGTAACTTAAGTTACACCAGAAAAAAACAAACAAAAAGCGCTCTGGGGTAAGCTCAAATGTATGGTCGGTACTCTTTGGGTAAGGGATTCATCAAAACAGCAACAAGAATCAGTCCAAGACAATCGAATATAGTGAAAAAATAAAAAATTATACTTTTTTACAAAAGTAACTCAAATATTATTACTTATTATAAGTCAAGTTAAGTAATGTGTTACTTTACTCGTTACTTAAAAAATATTATTATTGTGTAACTCGTGCTACTTGTAATGTGTTACCCACAACACTGGTTGTAAATGAGCCTGGCTGCTTAAAACATGTTTTTAAAAGATCACTGTCACATTTTATGTCACATTTATCGCATTTTTTTTGTTATCTCATATGGGGCCAAAGTAGGCCAGGCTCCTGATGGGGTGGGTCAGGCCCAACCCCCGTGGAGCCAGGCCTTTGTGCGTTTAATCTCTGCACATTTATTTTTGATATACAGTAGATATCACTCACCCATATCTCCAGTTTGCCGTTCTCTTTCTTGCAACGTGAAGCGAGGGTGTCGAGCTGGACTGTAGCCTCCGTCTTTAGCTCAGCTGTTTTGTCCTTGACCACCACATGCATCACTCGTCCTTTGTGGACGTGAGCGTCAAAAGTGCTGCTCCACGGGGGATACATGGTGGGCCGCTTCTGTTTGTACACTTGACCCTTTTCTAGAGATGCACACAAATATATAAGATAAATTCTGCAGTAAGTTTCACTGGCTGAACAGAAAAACACTATGCTGCGGTGTGTTTTACATCACTCCAACTGTGGATTTACCGGATCTGAAACTGATACTACTTAAATGACACAAAGATCTAATTGTTTGATTGTAATCTGACAGCTGTGCATTGAAACAAATACAGTCCTGTGCAAAAGAAATCATGCAATTTGGGTAGAATGTCAACATTTTCCCTTAGTTAAAGTCAAAGGGACTTTGACTGCCCTGTTTTATTTTCTTAAAAGAATAGTTCGCCCAAAATAAAAATGTATTCACAAATTACTTTCCCCCTCAAGTGTTTCTAAATCCTAATGAGTTTCTTTTAATTCTGTTAAACACAAAAGACAATATTTCAAAAATGTTGAAAACTGGAGACCATTGGCATTCATAATAGTAAAACAAATTATTATGGAAGTTAATAGTTAATTGTTTCCAACATCTTTAAAAAAAAATTACTTATTTTGTGTTTATCAGAAAACAGAAATTCAAACAGGTTAGAAACAGTATAGTTGTGATTTTTGGATAAACTGTCAGTTTAATAAATGTTCCCCATGCAAGATGCATTTTTAAAGTGTCTTTTGTCAGCAAATATTTAATCTGCCTCTAAAACGATTTAACCTTTTGGTAATGTCAGTTCAGGACATCAGACAGTATCCTCTTATTTTTTTGACAATGAACTTGAAACTCTGGTTTCCTTGACTAAAACCAGTCAAAGTTCAGTTTCATAATCTTTTGTGAAAACAACTTGCTGCACCTTTGAAACCACTCTCCTTTTTGCTCATCCTTTAATTTTTAGCCCCTCTCTCAAATCAAGAGTTTGTCTTCATAACCTGCTCAAAAAAACTTGGTATACAGTACCTCTTAATATGCATATGATCAAAAATATTATTTTTTATGTATGTAATGTATGTAGTAGTGCTACAGTATTTATAAATTATCTGTGTCCTTCGTTATTTTGCAAAAATTAATTTGCCCTCATAAGCTTTAATCAAGTACCACTCCCTTCTCTTCGCCCTTGAAATGAATTTTTTACACTTCTGGTCACATGGAATGCCATTTGGAAGGGACTATTAGTTTGAGTCTCATTTCTGCCTTGCTTTCATCCATTCATCAATCTTTCTTTCTTTTGTTAGCAACACTCATCTTCCAATGATCCAATTGGTTTCCAAAAGATAAATTCAATTCATCAGCTTAACTTCTTTTTTACATTCATCTAATATACAATATGGGAAAAACTACAAACTTATCTTCTATTTCAAGCCAACATTAAATCATTTTCAATATTTTTTTTTTTACTTCAACATCTTCAGGTACTCTTAACTCTTGTCCCTTCCCTCAAACAAAAAACCTCTAGCTTCAGTATCTTTCTTAAACCAACTTGCTGCTAACTTGCTCTTAAAAAAATTGTTCCTCTTTGCAGAAACCAAGACCCTTTAATGTTTAGCCCCTTCATTTAAAACACAAAGTTTGCCTTCATAAAATTGTCAAAACAAAACTGCTGCATATATAAAACAATTTTTATATTTTCGCTGACAACAATATAAGTTCCTCGGCTCAAACAACAAAACTTTTCTACTTGATATTTTGTTAAACAGAAAATAACTTTTTTTTTTTGCTAACATTATCAGGTACTCTAAGGGCGTACGCACACTATGCAATCCGAACCGTGCACAGGCCTGTTTCCTGGATCGTTTGAGAAGTGTGAGTGCTCTGAATCAGGCTCAGGCACAGTACACTTGGCCGGTCCTGGCCCAGTTGGAAGAGGTGTGCTAGAGCGCAGTTCACTTGGGCTTTGGCATGGTACGCATGTGTGTGAGTGCAAAACGTGCCTAAGCCCGAAACTGAAAGCGAGACGTGACTTCTAAGGGACCGTTTCATATGGATTAATTAATCATTCGTACTTGTGTAATGAACGCAAACTGTCATAGTTTATTAAAGATGCAAACCCCTCACTGCATGACAGCTGCAATATCAGCAAACCTCATAATTCATGCGACAATAATTTATACTTCTAGAATTTTATTGGGGATTTCCTGGGTCCTAAGCGGCCTCTTACCTCGCTTATTGGTTAAATACACCCCTGGTCATAGTACACTGACAAGCCACAAAAAATATATAATAAATAAATAAATAAATAAATTATATATATATTGAGATAATAGATTTAAATTTTAATTTTGTTTAATTGAACAGTGAGATTGCAGTATTCTGTAATAATGACAGCTGTTTGTGTCACTATCAATGAATTACAGCTGTAGTAATAGCGACACATCGAAGAACAACATAATAACATGTTTTTATTCCAAACTTGCCTCCACCTACAGTTGAGTGTTTGAAATAATTTATTCTGTGAGATGATTCCATAATTGTGTATTAAGTAGTCACACTGAATCAATAGCTATGTTTTCATCCACCTTTTTTTGGATATGCGTTTAAAAAATGGCTGATAGAAACAGTGAGATGGGCATGAATTTTAAAAAATTTTTGAAAACTTTTTATTCCATAAGAAAAAATTGTGCATAAACTTTTATGGAAACACTTTTACTAAACAAATTCCAGTATGCACATTAAAATCATGTGATTAAATAATTGATTAAAAAAAAAAAAAAAAAAAATATATATATATATATATATATATATATATATATATATATATATATATATATATATATATATATATATATATATATATATATATATTGTAATAAGAGATCATGTGGTGATGAAAAATGTGTGAATGGACAAACCAGCAGGCTGAGCACATTGTAAAACATCTGAAATGTTGTTTTGTTCATTCTAAAATGCCTTTACTATTTTATAATATTAATGTTATTATATTATTAATCACTTTCAGAACTGTCAGGAGCATCTGTGCTCCACGTCTCACACCTTCAAACACCACCACATGTTCATTATGTGTCAGCATTGTCTTCTGAGGCACAAGTCATTTATTAAATAAGGAAAAGATTCATGCAGCTTCTCCTACCGCTGCAAATCCCATTTTTACTTTTGATGTTTGGCACCAGTTAATCAGGAAGTGACTCTCTTTGACTCGTTGGATGGAAGCAGAGTATAGTTTATACAGAGTAGTGAGTTTCCAAAAGAGAGCCCTGTGGCCCTTGAAGGAGATTTACCACAAATTCCTTGAAGATGTGACCAACAATCACAGCTTTGTTCAATCATAGCTGCAATTTCAATTCGATTAGTCGCCCATACCTAAATATGCCTTGCAACAAGCACCATATGTCGATTCAAAGATCAGCCAAGAAGTTGTCGAGAATGTGCCTTCAGCAGCCACCAAACTTCAAAATGTAAAATCTTTTGATTCAAAAACACAGAACAAAGTAATACACCGATGATGGCTTGAGAGTGATTAAATTATGGGGTAATTTTTTGGTAATTTAAGGTGTAAACTTGGGTGAACAATTCCTTTAAACTGCCTGGCTTCATATTGACTTCATAATGGCTTCATATTATGTACTTTCTCATTTATTATATTACATACAGCACATTTAGCAAAATAACGATTTCATTTATAAAAATAAAAATACATACTGTCTATAAAACACATCACAAGCAAGGTCTACTGTTGATTTTAATGTGTATATTAAAAGTTTATTCGAATATAAATACATCTGGACATGCATATTTATTGAACTTAACAAATGAAGTTGTTTCAAAGAAATCTGAGTGTGACTTGACACTTTATATTTTGACAGGTATGTGTGGTTGTGGTTGGTTCTACAGAATAAGACCAAGAGGTCTGCTAGAAACTCAAACTTGTGTCTGCAGAACTGATGCTTTGTGATAAGTGTGTTCGTGTGACCAATAATCATTTCATCTATGATTCTTAAGTAAATTAATGCTGCACATTAAAAAGAAATACCACACTTCTCAAAAACATGTAGTGGAGATAGGTTTTCAGATATACTTCCCTTCATAATATTATGAATGTTTGATTGTTTTGTTGTTGAAATTTTTTGACTCGTAAAATAGCACGTGAAATAATTAAACAGAAAAAGAAGGTCTTCATAAAGTATTAAGGCATTAAAAGTGCATTTAGTATCTTTAAAAAAAATCTTGAATTACATATTTAAAACTGACTGCATCTGTCTGCCATCATTATTTATTATTATTTTTTGCTGAAGTTAGTCTAATGACTGAAAGAAGAGACTGAGAACATGCTTCATGAATCACCATCTGAACAGTGAGTTTAATAAGACAGAAACAGATACTATATTTTTACTGACAATGACACAACCCGTATGACACACATTTCCATTAAGGCTGACACTTCACACATAATCCAACAATAGTAAGTTGCTAGAAACTTTGAGTGGATGTTGTGTTTGCTTTGACCTATAGTGGAAGTTGAGTAGGTGGGTCAAGCAGCAGTTTTTCCAATATGAGTAATTTTGTCGATGTAGATTTCTTTTTTTAATAATTAGCATGTTTAAAATGAAATATATTACAATTTTAGAATAAAATGGACTGTCTTCTTGCGACTTAAGTATCATAAATGCACTTGAATACAGATGTGGCTACTGAGAATGTGCGAGTATATATGTGTATGTGTGTGTATGTATATATATATATATATATATATATATATATATATATATATATATATATATATATATATATATATATATATATATATATATATATATATATATATATATATATATATATGTGTGTGTGTATATATGTGTGTGTGTAGAAAGCATAACTTACCAGTCTCCACAGCCTCTTTCATGTAGACAGCACAGTATGGATTGAGCACTTCTTCATGATAGGCAAGTCCTGGGTCCATCTCAAAACTGGAGAAAGCAATCCTCAAAAACGGAGACATGACTGTAAACGCTCAGAAATATCCTCTGATAGACAGCGGCCCTTTGTTAATTCCACTTGGGAGATCTTCTGTATTGTTGATGGACTCTTATTTGATGCTAATATTCATATTTGTAATGTCGGTTACATGAGTTGTTTTACTCCAGTGACAGAAGAAGGCAATTAGCGTTTTGTCCTTAATTTTTTAGGTCAAGTGTTTGTTTTTTTTGTTCTGTGTCCATCAGATCTTTTTGCTGGTGGTGTAGAAGGAATGATGTCGAGATGAAAGTCTGCAAAAGTCAATAAACAGAATTAAGTGTTGTAAATGACTAGTAAATGCATAAATACAAGTGTAATAATATATAAATAATATAATTTGATAAATGAAGATTTATCCAAATGTAAGAAAACAAGAAAATGGTTTATATTTAATTATTAGTAAAAAAAAAAAAAAAACAGTTTTGGGGAAAAATGAGTGATTCAGAATTTATGGTATTCATTTCGAGGTGTTGTTTTAAGTAAATTTTTATGTGTTAAATATTTTCTATCAATATTTTCTATCTTTTTATTTGTCATGAATGAAAAATAATTTGGTGGGTTTTTTCACCCAAAAAATGTATTTCTTAGCTCTTCTAACAGTAGAAAAACAAATTATATAAACACGTATAAAAACCATTGTATTTATTTTATAAATTGGAGCAACTTGTATATGCAAACAAAGTCAATTTGAAATTAAACAAATACAAATAAATGAATACAAATGAATCCAAAAAATATAAATAAAATAAATAATAAAATAAAATAAATGAATTATTAATGAATAAAGAATTTAGAATAAATATATAATTGTGCTTATGCAATACAATGGTTGATTTAGTTTTTTTGTTTTTAATAAAACTTCTTAATAATAATAACAATAATACTAAATAAATAAATAAATTAAAATTATGTGAAGAAATAATATTAAATAAATAAAATAAAGGAATATCAATAAATAAAACCAAATAAATTGGTTGTTGATTTTTTTGTATAGTTGATAAAACATAATAATACTATATTTTATTATTATTATTATTATTATTATTATTATTATTATTAAATATAAATAAAAATAAAAATAATGAATGAAATAAATAGATAAACAAAAATTAAATGGATAAAAATAAATAAATAAATAAATAAATACATATTAATAAATGAATTTAGAATAAATATAGAATTTTGAATAGACTTTTAAGGTTAATAAAACTTAGTCAATTAACTAAATAATACGAAATAAATAAATCAAAAATCTAAATAAATAAAAATAATAGATTAGCAAAATAAATTAGGAATTTAGAAAAAAATGTATGATTTTTGTTATGAAAATTAGTGGTTGATTTTTTTTTAAGTAATAAAACTTAGTTAATTAACTAACAAAAATATCAATTAGTTAATTGCAGCAATTATTATTAGTATTGTCCTACTACTACTACTACTACTACTACTACTACTACTACTACTACTACTACAAACAATAATAATAAAACAGCAAAACAGTATGAAAACACCAAGAGATGTTAGTTAACAACATTATTAAAATGATTACGATATAAAAGACAATCAATCAGTGCATAAAGTAACCAATTCGATCATCAATTTATTACATTTATATATTTATAATCACAGTTAAAAAAAAAAATTATAAAAAAAAACCCTGTAAACCAAAGATCACTCAGATATGCTCTCTGTCTGTCTAAAGGAAAGCAGATAGACTCAGACATGCATTTACTTCTTTCCATACGACACATGCCCTTTAAAATGAACACAACACCAGTTTACACCAACCACTGATGTTTCACTCAGCCAAAAACACTCAAACTAAGCAGAAAACGGAAAACGCACACTTGTTAAACAGTTGAACCACAGCTCCACAGTTAACACGAACAGAGTACTCACCAATAGAAAACTGAGGTAACCAGCGAAGAGAGAAAACCAGAAAGGGAGAACTATTTATAGATGTGAAATACTAAACTCCCATCCAAACAGCCAGCCAGGATTCACTTCCCTGCTGAGTCACAGCCAACATACAGTACTAACGCACACACACACACATGGATGTGTCACGCATTTATTCAGACATTGCTCAAACTCAATGTGTGTATTGCAGTGCACATTATTTAGATTTTATATAATAGAAAAGATCCAAAAAACAAAATTTTTGTATTTTTTCACATTAAAACTGTGCACGGCACTAATATATTTATTAGCAAGATCTTTTTCCCTCCAAGTATTTAAGGTACTTTATAATATAAAAAAAAAAAATAGCTAAAAACTGACAAATTTACGAATTCATTCATTTAAAATGTTGAAAATGTATTTTTATTATTATTGTTGTTGTTGTTGTTGTTAATATTATTATTTTTGTGGATGATGTTGTTGTTGTTATTATTATTATTATTATTATTATTATTGTTGTTGCTGATGTTGTTGTTACCTGCCAACACTCCCGTTTTTCTCGGGAGTCTCCTGCATTTCAGACCCATCTCTCCCCACCCTTCTGTTTTTGTTATTTCTCCCGGAAAACTCCAGTAATTTCACCCATCCCCCGACCCCCAGTCCTCAGCTTTTTGGTACAGACTGTAATACCCCCAAGCCCCAAATTTTGGTATAATATCTGATTGGAGCGGCTACCTAAAACCTGTTCCATAGTACAGTTACTAACTCTGTTCTCAACTGTGTTTTTCAGACACCATAACCCCCCCTCCCGGTCTCCCAGATATTCAGAGACAAATATTGGCAGGTATGGTTAGTCTACTCAGCATAGGCCCCTGTGGTTGCAAATAACAGTACAATGGCGAGTGCGTTAAGTCACGGCTGTATGTTAATAACTGTGATGGTTGGGTTAAGGGTTGGGGTGGATGTAGACATTAATAACTATGCTGGTTGGGTTAGGGTTGTGGTAGGTGTACACGTTAATAACTGATGTATAGCATTACGTAAATCTTGCTGACAACATAATTTTGACCTGTGGGTCTTCATAACTTCAAGTTATACATCTAACATACCACAAGTTCCACTCCCTCATGTTACGCCCCTGTCTTAATTAAATAACGCAAACTCAAAATAATCTTCCATGTTAGTTTATTTGAAAAGTAACTTTGTATTGTAGTAGGATAACACATTTCTAACATTTAAGTATCAAGTCAAATTTTTGCACCTGTAAACCTTAACAGATACATTAGAAGTCAATTTTTTGGCCTCCTATTAATTTAAAATAATTTTCCCCAAGTGATCTTTAACAAACCATAGAGATTTTCACATGACTGAAGTTGAATTTTTTATTACCTGTGTCAATTTGGGGCTTTACTTCTGTCAAATGCGGAAAACTGATGTGTGCAGCACCATGACTGACAAAAGTCGAGAAAAAGCAGAGAGACTGAGAGCGTGCGCGCGAGAGGCCTTAGTCGTATCTCCATCTGCCACCAATGGTTGATCTCACTTCTCCGTGGCATTTAAGTCGTGACACAAAAAATACAAGTCCAAATTTAAGGGGGCTATAAGCTTGTTGACAAGGTTTTTTGGCTTATAGACTTCCATCCAACAAATGCAGCAGACCGGAAACGCAAGCTTGTGCAACAAGTTTTGCAGTTCCCTGCATTGCTGAACTCTGACCTGCGAAATCGCATCATGTGACTGCGTGAGACCATTCGAAGACTAAAACATGACCCCTGTGTACAGAAATTTAAAATATGGAGTAATCGCTTGCTTTTTTTAATTGTCTAATCATCTTGATCAATCCCTTTTTGCAGTGCTGTACTATATAATTTAGGCATGACTATCCTCAAACCAACAGCAGAGAAACTTTTACCTGTTCAGCTGCTTCTGTTTTTGCTTCATACCTCGCTTAAATTATGTAAGATGATTTGACAGATCTTGGATCTTTTAATCTTGATAACTGATCTCTGGCTAATTTGGTTCTTCAAACTAGTTTGCGAATCAGATTAAAATGTCTGGATGAACTGATCTGAGATTGCTGCGTGTGTTGTAAAAGAAAGATCTATCAATCCTCGAAATTATGATCAGCAATGCAATGACTGGCTGACAGCACAGCAGCGTAATGACATCTGATTAATATTCAATTATCCACGTGAGCAAAATTACATAACATTTGTAGCAAACAGTTTGTTAAATATGATGTGCAATAACTTTCCACCTTTGTTGTGGGCTGTAGGTTTTACAATTTTATCTGTCAAGAGTATTTAGCAATTTATTTAGTTTCACATTTAGAGTAGATAATCTTTATTATATGCCTAATCAAGTTTTTGTAAATCCGTGTAAGAAATAACTGGCTGTTAAAAAGCATTTTGAAATTGGTAAAGGCGTCTGCAACTTTTGCAAAGCATCAAATTACCGTCATATTAGCTGTCAACACAATGACTTTATAAATTATTATTCCTTTAAAAATAACAGTCGAATATTGTGCATGTGAAGAACAAAACAATCCTGGATATTAAATAATCAATAACTAAATCCAGCTATTTGAGTAATCCACATACAAAGAACAGATGTCTGCAAAGTTGATTAAAACAGCTTTTCCCAAAAAATCTGGCTAATTATGATGCTTTAGAACAGCATAAACTACATGGAATGAGCTTTGCAAACCGTCACAGTCTATGTGAAAATCTGAAGGGTATGAATAATTTTGGCCATGCCACTTTTTGTTGACATAAAAGCTGAGAAATATATATTACTCCAATTTACTTTTGGACCCTTAACAAGTGGAAGGTACATATGCAAACTGTTGTAATTCCTACACCTAATTTGGATGTAAAAACTCTCAAATAAAAGCCGACAGTCTGCAGTTGAAGCACATTTATTTATATTTTATTTATTTATTTATTTATTTTCCCCCCGAATGATGTCTTTTGTACATCATCTAATCTTTAGGGATAAGTTCTGGTAAAAAAAAAAAAAAATTGCTGGTTTAATGAAAGTAACTTTAAGTCAGATTTCACCACGGTTGCGAATATAAAATGTGAGTTTCCCCCAAATATATTGATATATTATTATGTTAAAACATTTTTATTACAAAACAAAAATGATGCAGTGCAGGTTAATTTTCACAGCCCCCTTTTACTCTATTTACCAAAAGTATCATGGCAAACATGCTTTTTTATTTTATGTGACAAAAAAAAAAAAAAAAAAACTTTAAAATGACATTAAGATTTTTGTTTTTTAAATTAAGAAGAAGTGTTATGAGTAGCTTAGTGAATTAGACAAAGAATATGTTTTGATCAAACACACACAGCTATAATTCACACAGCTATAATTCTTAAGTCCACAGAAACAAAAAAACTTTATATTTTTATATTTTGGTTTAGCTCAAATTTCTCAAAACTCTGGCTTGCATAAACTTGTTCACAATGTACGCCCTCAGTAATGTTTTTGCCAAGCACTTCCTGTCATTTGACTGACAACTCAAACCGCACTTCCTGTATCATTGAAGGACTGTAGCATAGATAGCGAGTTGCTTCTCTTACCTGCTGCTGCTGCTAGCAGGATTTATAGACGAAAGAAAAACTAGACGGATAGAAAGAAAGAGCTCAGCAGGACAGACACTTTAATGTCACCACTTTGTTGTGTATGCCTTTACTGGCTCTGTGAATGTGATATTTCATCAAACGGTGTCGATACTGACTCTAGAGTCAGCATAGATGAAGTGTCCCAGCATGGAAAAAAGCTGCAGGGGTGAAAGAAGTGTGGGATCAAAAAAACAACCCCCTCCATTGAACTTAAACACACTGGACTGGACTGAACTACAAATATATCTGACCTTTCACAAGCCTCTCTGGAGGTGAAACTCATAAGGCTTGTAAAAAGAAGATGCTTGGTTCAATACTTAAAGGGATAGTTCACCCAAAACTGAAAATACTGTCATTTGCTCACCATTCACTCGCTCCATATTTACACTTGATTGAGTTGAACACGAAAAAAGATATTTTGAAGAAAGCAGAAAACCTACTATGGAAGTCAATAGTTACAGGTTATTAGCATTTTTTAAAATATCTTCTTTTGTGTTCAATAAAAACTCTTAAAGTTTGTAAGCACTTGAGGGTGAGAAAATAGTGAGCAAAATATAATTGTTTGGCGAAATATCCATTTAGCTAAGTGTCTCAGAAATATCATCTCTGTTCATAAAACCCAAGGTTTTATTTTATTTATTTATCTCTTAATTTATAATACAAATATATTGGGGAGTTTAAAAGCAAATGCTGAATGACTTATAGTATATAAAATATTGTGTAAAAAACAATGCTTTATTCCATTAATTCATGACTACGTTATTTTTTATTTTAACTATAACTTATTAAACTAAATGAATCATGTTTTTAAGTTACACTGTTAAGTTATAATGTAATTTAAGATAAATTGCAATTAGAACTTTTTTCATAAAGACCGAATTAGCTAAAATGGCAGAATTTAATTAATGTTTATGGCTGGTTATTTCAATTTTTTTTTTTCCCATTCTAATTTAGTTTAATACAAGATTGATTAGTTGTCAATATTTCATTTAAAGGGCATCTATGATGAAAATGATCTTTTAGGAGCTGTTTGGACAGAATTGTTTATAATGCAGAGATGCCCAAAATTGGACCCGTGGGTCAAGGTTGGCCCATGGTAACCTTTGATTTGGCCCGCCATCCGAAAAGTGAGGGAGAATGATAGGAAAGTTATTGGGGCGAATTCCTTTGACAAACATTGACATTCCGAAATTAACCTAACATTTTGTTTATTTGTTTTATTTTTAAGCTACAAAAAAGCCAACTGAACATAAATGATTCAATTAAACGTTGTCAATGAATTAGACTTTTAAAATGTAAATACTGTCTTGAACGATGGAGGACTTGACAGATATAGGAAAATTGCGAGCAAATTTAAGTAAAAACAGAAGCAGCTCGATTATTTTCAAATATTATTGAGTTAATTAGGAAATTACCCATGGCAAAT